TACACACTACGCCGATGGTAGATTGGAAGCCTATCCAGAAGGTCCCGTCGGCGACAACTCTCGATAATCTTGACCAGCTCAACAACCTTGGCAACACAAGCGTTTATCTAACTTCAAAGGAAGGGATAGATGCTGACCCCCAGCCTGCATGGCTTGGTGGTATCAAACCTGACCAAGACGGTCGAACGCAGGATGCGATCTCTTCAACCATCATTCTTCGTGACCATGGAGATGGGATCCTGGACGCTTTTTATTTCTATTTCTATGCGTGAGCGATATCCGCATGTCAGTTGTCATTCAAATTACGCTTACCAGACGTATAGGTATAACCAGGGAAACACAGTTTTAGGAATGGAGTTTGGGGACCATATCGGAGACTGGTCAGTCCCAAGGTCAAGTAGTAATCGACCTCAGAAACTGATATAACCTCAATAGGGAGCATAACATGATACGGTTCTCCGAGGGTGTCCCACAAGCAATCTGGTACAGCCAGCATGCCTCGGGGCAGGCATTTACGTTTGGAGCAACGGAGAAAAACGGCAAGCGACCGATTGCATATTCAGGGAACGGCACCCATGCTAATTATGCCATTTCTGGGTATGTACTCCCACGCGTCCTTTCAGCCCTAGATAATGCGACGCTAAGCTTGCCTCAGGAAACACGATCACACTATTCCTGGGTTCAATCTCCCTGATGGACTGATCGTGGATCAAACTGACTCGGGTACGTTGTGGGACCCGATTTTGAGTGCCTATGTATACAATTATGATGCTTCCGAGGGAACATTCCAGGCGTATGACTCTGGGTATCCGGTCAACTGGTTGAATTTCAACGGCCAGTGGGGAGACGATGCACTGCCGGGAGGGCCGGAACTGTTCGGACAGAAAAAGTACGTTGCGGGGCCGAACGGACCGAAATTCAAGAAGCTGGTGAGGGACAAAGTGTGCCCGAGTAGCCCATGTGTCGTTCTTCCTTTCCGGATCTGGGAGAACCAGACCCTGGAAGAGCATCGACAACGAACGGAGTCAAGTTAGTCTGGACCGATCGACTGCCTTTACAACGGTCATTGTGCATAGATAGGCTGGCTGTGGGGACCTAATCTCGGGGATTGGGCCCCTGAATGGATGTGTTGAACTTGTTCTATCGCATGCGGTCTTTTCATTTGCAGCAGCCAAACGGACCAATTTCAATTGTGTCACATATGATAGGGATCGACGCGACAATTTGCGATCGTAATTAAATGCCGGCCACACAATGAACCATCGATGTTCCTTAATTAATAAAGGGTCACTAATGGTTAGCGCTGCAACTAAGATTCCAAGTCTCTAGCCCTTCCGGGAATAGTGTCATATCTTCCATCCACAGTCGCCTCAGGCGTTCGCTAGACTGTATTTGGGGTATGGAGTATTATCATGTCACCTTAGAAGAGACCTCCGTCCAAATGAATCGCAATCTGATACATAAAAGTGACAGCCCCCAATTAAAGCCATAGGAATTATGTTTAGTCATCGTTGACTATCCCGCGACCTGTCTCCTGGCCGGTAGCTTTGTGATCATGGCCATCAGAAATACTCATGCAACTGAGGGGCCCAGAATAAGCCTGGTCAGCAGGATTCTGCTATTGAACGGACGTCTTGGCATAGCCCTTTGGAAATTGAACAAGCTGATAACGTTCATTTATCGTCGAGAGCCTCATCCATTGCCCTATTGACTTCATCTTACCTGAATTAGGCTTTTACAACCTGAGACAAAGAGTCAGCCATGGAAATATACAACGCCGAATGCCACTGTGGCGCCGTCTGATTATCCTTCTCTCTGGCGCCGTTGAAGAATATCAAAATCAACCGATGCAATGGCTCCATTTGCACGTAGAATAGCTCTCTCCTGGTATATCCTCTCCGAGCGGACGTGGTTTCCATCGCGGAAGTATCGATTCGGGGACTGAACGAGACAGCATAAACTTATGCCCTAACTGCGGAACATCTGTTCTGATTGACTTTTAAGGACTCCCAGTTTGACAAGGCAAGAGAAAGGATGGCAACCAATGTTGGTTGTGGTTTCAGATCCCCGCTTTGCCTTGCTTGGTAAGTTTGGGTTGTCGGTGAGTGTAGTTCTCATGAGTTCCAGATCCACACCATTCAAGACATTGCAGATATTTTGGACGAATTAGACTATCGGGCCGTGGACGGGAGGAACAGACTGGGACCTCCGTCTTCCATCTGGGCGCATGTTCGACCGGCACCATCACCATTGGGATAGGTATCCATGGTTCATTGACAGGGGTAAAGTCCAAGACTCTAAGGTCGTAGGGACCGAAACCTTGTAGGGAAATTGCATCACGAGGGACATGGAACTCTAAAGCGTAATTGGCAGCTTCACGTACGAGTAGAGTCGTAACTTTTGTAGTTTGGAACAGCTCACAATGCGGGTTTGGGAAAAAACTCCGAACTGGAGCCAATTAAACGTGGTTGCGGCCCGCCAATTTCGGTTCTGACGGTATTGATACCCTCATGTACTGATACCTGCAGGTGGACACGATGTCCATGTTGTTGTTCCGGTATACAGGTCTAGGGATTCGGATAGGTTGAATTGTGATTTCCAGCACTTGGCTTAGTTAAAATGGAGCAGTTCTGATCCATCACCCGCAAGGCGGGCGGAGATGCATGGCATCTGCAGCATAACTCACGTTTAATGAGATGAGGGATGTCACATACCCACGTGTGGACATTGATCATCAATTGATCCGAAAAAAAGGGTGTGCTTCACTGCTTTAGTCTGAAAAGACGGCTGAGATGTGGACCTTACGTAATTCCGTATCGTACCATATATGCGGTATTGATCTTTCCATGGGTCTGAGGTACTTACTGGATCTACCCATCGCTTTTGTTTACTCAGACAATCGGTTAGTATGCCACAAGAAATCCCACGAGGAAGCGAGTTGAACGAGGATCGACCGTGGTATGAATGGGCTGGTTCGCTTCAACAGCGTTTGCCTCCAGGATTCCCAAGGCTATCTATCATCCCGGATCCAGGAACAACAGGCCCCCTTTTCCAACGCAGAGCTCTTCCTGGACCCCGGAGGGTACATCTCAGAAGGTAACTTTACTGTAATCACAAAACCGGCTAGTGTCCCCCGACCACGAGAGCTAAAGAGCGAGGACGCCATCCACTCAGAAGCATTGCTCGGCGCCCAACCTAACCTAAAGGGCGCTAAGAGCAGTGGGGGAATTCTGGAAAGCCTGCAGCTTTGCTTTTGCGTTGCCCCTGAATCGCTTCTCCGCCATACTGAAAAATAGGTCCCCGTCCACGAGGGGAAGATAAAAAAAAGAAGAAGAAAACGAACAAAGAGGAAGACTTCCCGTATCGGTGATCTCTGACGTTCCGACGAGCTGGACAATCACCAGGCAGCCTGGACCTGAATACGTGTGTGTGCTCGCAGAGCGAAGCAAAAGCGGCCCCCCCAGATAGTATTGGCAGATCGGAGAGAGGAAAAGCATTGTCCTTCTAATATCCGTTCTCAGGCCGATCATTATCAGTCGTCCAACGCTCTCTCATTTCGCTTCGTCCCTTCCACTGTTTCTCTTCACTCTCCTCAATTTCCGTTCCCCTTTTCTTTGCGTTTCATGTTAATGCGCCGCTTGAGCCGGACGCTGTGAGCAGGCTTCTTCACAACATTCGTTTTATTTTTTTTCCCTTCGAGCTAAGACCGAAGTCCAGAAAAATAAGATTAAAAAATAAAAAAAAGGAACAGCTGTGGTTCGTCTGAGCTGTAGCTTCACCCCTAACAATCGCTTCGATAGCGTATCTTTTATCGTCCTCTAGCAGAGACATCAGGCTTTGCCTCAACAGACACCTGCTGGGCTTGTGGATGTTGATCAGTCGCCAATCCCAATCTGACGTATTCGGATATATCGATTTTGAGTTTGCCGCTGAATCATTGGCGATTATTGCGCCCTAACTCGAATTCCAAGAGCTCCATCGCGTCATTCGAAGGACTATATCACTAGGAGAAAGGCTCCATTCATATACTTAGCTAGATTGATTTGAGTGCGGCTCGCGACAGTTGACCGTTCCAGGATCTGTAAGTGCTTATTGTTTAGCTTGTTGATCATATTTTTAGGAGCAGGACTAAAGAGGGCCTGTTCGTATGCTCTCGGATATTCCTTTACGATCTGATGAATGAGTTGTGGAAAGACATTGGCTGACTTGCGACCCAGTTGCTAGGAAACAGAGTCGAGAGCAACTGGCGTGAATTGAATCACTGACCTGTGCCTTTTATCTGAGACAAGCCATTCACTGTTACCCCACTTTTGCGCCAAAGTACTTCCGAAACCCCATCCGTGTTACCAGCAATCGGCTGATTGGAAAGAGCCACCCGAGAAATAAGACCAAATGGCCACTACAACTTCTAGCCTTCGTTCCCCGGGACACCATGATCCCTCCGACCTTGAGAACGGTACGACCAGCAAAGATCAACGCCGCAATTCCTCTTTAGGTTTCCTCCGTCGTCCCAAGTCCATCGAGCCACTCAAGAGCAAGAAGAATTCCAAGCTCCAAGCCACCGAAGAGGAACTCCGTCGACAGGGAGCCATGCTGAAGCAACCGCCCTGTCTGCCCTCCCTGTCTCCCGCCCCAATTCTGGAGAGTTTTGGAGGTGAAGAGCGAGACGATGCCAATACCGCTGCCACTCCTTCAAACAGTAACCCCTCGCCCCAACTACAACAACCTCCCTCTCGCAACTCGATGAGCACCGACTACGACCCGTACGCACGGACAGAAAGCATGACGCACCGTGGGCGTTATAGCTACGCCAGTAGTGCCGTGAGTACCGTGAACAATCCGCGGAGGCTACGTCGGCGCAAGGATCCTACTCCGTACAAGTAAGGCCTATCCTGCTCATATCCTTCACCCCAAACCCATATTAACTGATCGCATAGCGTCCTTGTCATTGGCGCCCGTAATTCCGGCAAAACCGAGTTTCTGAATTTCCTGAAAAAGGCTTTGGCCATGCCGGCCCACAAGCATCCCTCTCGCCCCGCCGAGGAAATGGAATACCAAGATCGGAATGCGCCTGCCAACCAGGGCTACACCTCTGAATATCTCGAAACGGAAATCGATGGGGAACGCGTGGGGCTAACGCTGTGGGACTCTCAGGGATTTGAGAGAGACATCGTCGACATCCAGTTGCGTGGCGTGACCGGCTTCCTGGAAAGTAAATTTGAGGAGACCTTGAGTGAGGAGATGAAAGTCATTCGTTCGCCTGGAGTGCGGGACACTCATATTCACTGCACATTCCTGCTCCTCGACCCCGTGCGCTTGGATGAGAACATCGCGGCCGCAAAAAGGGCCGCCCAAGGGACCCCCAAGGCTTCCGACTCGCCAGTCATTGGTGTCTTAGATGAGAACCTCGATATTCAGGTACTGCGAACCGTGTTGGGCAAGACCACCGTGGTCCCCGTCATCAGCAAGGCCGACACGATCACCACGGCACATATGTCGTATCTGCGGAAGGCGGTTTGGGACAGCTTAAAGAAGGCCAACATCGACCCCCTCGAGATCCTCACTCTGGAGGACCAGGAGGAAGAATACACGTCTTCGGAGAGCGCTGATGAGGAGGAAGAGACACCTGAGAACGCCGGGGATGACCAGAAAGCGCCCGGCTCACCCTCCACAAAGAGCCAAGGGTCTGGAACACAAGCTCCCTCTCAGATTTTGCCCTTCTCTATCTTGTCCCCTGATCCCCACTCCTTGGAGGCCGGTGAAGAACCCGTCGGTCGCAGATTCCCCTGGGGATTTGCGGACCCTTATGACGCAGAGCACTGCGATTTCGTCCGGCTCAAGGAGTCCGTCTTTAGCGACTGGCGTACCGAATTGCGCGAGGCCAGCCGGGTAGTCTGGTATGAGCGATGGAGGACAAGCCGCTTGAATCGGAAGACCCCCATCCCCAGTGCTGGGCCACCTAAGAAGCAGTATGCTGGTAGAATGGGCCCCCTTGACCAGGGGCCTCGAGTGCGATAGTGGCCCTCTGACTCTG